CTCTGCAAGTTTGGAAAGCTCTGTCCCCACCTTGAGAAACAGTAGCCGTGCCTGATGGTGGCCCCTGGACACTGTGTGTGCCAGCAGCTGTATCCTCCTTTGGGTGACTCCTGGGCATTGCCACGGATCCCGCTGTCCCTGCCAAGGACAGGAGCACACACAGGTGTCTGGGGCAGGGAGCCTTAGCAAGCCAAGAGGGGTGTTGCTTGGGGTGTGTGGGGCCTCGCCCATACCTTCGGTTCCTGGAAGGTACAGGATGTCCACCCAGTGCCCACTCTCCACAATCCAGAAGCCTCCAGGGCCTTCCAGAAAGGCAGCAGGTGGAGCGACAATGGGGCGGCTGGGAGGGTTTGTCCCTCACTCCCACCCCCTGCTCAGAACCAGCTCACCCAGCACCCATCCAGCCCTGTTTTCTGTTCCCTACTACTAAGCCAACAAGCTTGTTAGAATCCCTTGCAGCTGGAGGTGGGTGTGTGAATCTTACCCATGAGACAAAAAGAGAAGTCTCCTGAGGACTTCTGGGAAAGTCGTTGTCCTTCTGATACAGGCCGCTGCTTTCTCCTTCTTCCCTTTCCTTGTTTTTGTTGCCTAGAAAGTGTGCGTGATGGCTGGAGCTGTAGCAGCCATCTTGAGATCACCAGAAAAGGGTAAGAGAGTCTGAGAGGCTTGGTTCTGACCCCCTCGAGGCACCGAAATGTGTCCCCAGGGGCGACGCAGGTGAGGAAAACAGGGTTAAGCCCCTATTTCTCAGCTGAACGTGATCCTTGACTGACCATTGCCCATCCCTGCCCCCCCAAAGTGGGTCTCTGTCTTCCTGGGCAAATACCTTCTATTCTTCCACATGAGACCAGATTTCTGAGCCACAAACAAATGACCAAGAGATAGGGTTTTATATGAAAAAAAATATGTATATATATTAGAAAAGGCAGCCTGGTATAGGAATGCAGAGGCCGGAGGACCTGGCCTTGCTATTTGGCGTTTTCCTCCACCTGGGTCCGATGAGAATTCCTCGCTCCACTGGTGGATACACGTCCAGTCTGTTTCTTCAAACAGGGAGGTGAGGGCACCTGGCTGATCCGGTCAGTTGAGCATCTGCCTTCAGCTCAGGTGATGGTGTCAGGATCCTGGGATCGAGCCCTGCATTGGGCTCCCTGCTTGGTGGGGAGCCTGCTTTTCCCCCTCCCTCTGGAGCTCCCCCAATTCGCGCTCACTGGCTCTCTCTCACTCTGTCAAACAAATAGAATAAAAAAATCTTAAAAAGAAAGAAAACACACCCGAGGCACGTCCTGCACTTTGCAGGTTGCGCAGCTGCTTCATATCCCAGGTGACACCGCACACACCAGAGGCGTCAGGGGGTGCAGACAGGGGGCTGGCTCTCGTGACGGCAGGAGCGACACTCACGGGCCGGGTGCTCGAGGCCCCAGGAGGCTTCCGGGGAGCGGGGCCCCTGCAGTAGCACCCCAAGCCTGTTGGGACGCGGAGTGCCCTCCCTGTGGTGGGAGCTGTCAGCGTGGTCCGCCGGCTTGGCCGTCCTGGGGTTGTGAGCGGGTTTCCCAGCACACCCCTGCACACCCACGCTGCCCAGTGCCTGGCCCTCGCAGAGAAGAGTCTCATCACGAATTCCGCCCCTTTTCTGTGTGACTTTTTCTGCTTGGTGTGTAGATATTCTCCACGTGCTGTGAAATGTCTTTGTGCTCTCAGGACAAGAATGCAGGTTCTTGGGATCCCCGGGTGGCGCAGCGGTTTGGCGCCTGCCTTTGGCCCAGGGCGCGATCCTGGAGACGCGGGATCGAATCCCACGTCGGGCTCCCGGTGCATGGAGCCTGCTTCTCCCTCCGCCTGGGTCTCTGCCTCTCTCTCTCTCTCTCTCTCTCTCTCTCTCTCTCTCTGTGACTATCATAAGTAAATAAATAAAAAATTAAAAAAAAAAAGAATGCAGGTTCTCGGGAACGCGGCGGGGAGGGGGGCTGCCTCTGGGGGATTGTGATCGAAGCACCCGAAGCCCTGCTGGGAGGCGCCCCCAGGCCGCGGTCCCCTCCCTCCAGCCCCGGCTGCTCCCGCACCTCCGCGGCCCCCTGCGCCCACGCCTGCAGACGCAGCCCACCCAGCACTCTGAACTCTGCGTGGGAAAATGCATTGAGCGCCACTTTGCCCAATGGCTGCTGTTGGGCAGGCGCACAGCTTGCTCTTCCTGTAAGTGGGACCTTCCTGAAGATATGACACTTCATTTCCTGGGATGGACCCCGAGTCAAGTTAGAGGGAGTCCCAAGTGTCTGGGGAGACGACAGGGGGAGAGCGGCCCCCGTGTGAGGCACCAGAACCTGACAACCGGGACTGTGGCTATTACTTTGTCACCCCTGCTTGGTCTGCCTCAGAGGAGCGAAGTGGGGTCATGGGTCTGGGGGCTCCTGTTCCCATTTCCCCCTGGAGGGGAGGGCGGCTTCCTTCCAAGCTGTGACCAAGTAGTCCCACAGGCCTGAGCTTCTGTGGGGAGAGGTGGGCCCTGCTCCAAATCTCAGGCGAGCACATCTCAGGGCCCAGGAGGCCCTGCCCCGACCCTCGCTCCGCAGGCCGTCTCGACGACTCACAGCTGCACCTCTGGGTGCCAGCGCGCCCAATCCAGGTTTCTGGATTGTGGGGAGTGAGCACCCTTTCCTGTGCCTTTAGCAGCAGAGACAGCTAGGCCCCACTCCACACATCCCTGCTTTATAAAATGATCATTTTTTTATTACAAGATATTATCCTCTTGTAGGATAACTAGAAATGATTACAACTATTATTTTAAATGAATAATACAGCTATTGTATTATGCAAATATTATAACTATAAGTATACTAATCATTGGTTATCATTAGTATAAATAATTCATATTAGTTAAATTAGCAATAAGTAATTGCATTGTTGTAATATTAATATATAATATAATGACTATATATTAATTATAATGGCGATTATTATTATTGGGAACGTTAGAATATTTTCTTACTATATATGAAACAGAAAAGGAAAACTAAACATGAACCCCTCCCCAAAAAAATAAAATAAACATGAAAACCCTGATGCACTGTAGTGTTGAGGCACCAACCTTTTTGCACATGTGAACACATTTTATTGACAAAGCGGAATTCTACTTTGTGCATGTTTATTATTTTATTTTTATTTTTTTGGTGCACGTTTAATGTTTCTTTTTTTTTAATTTTTATTTATTTATGATAGTCACACACAGAGAGAGAGAGGGGCAGAGACACAGGCAGAGGGAGAAGCAGGCTCCATGCAGCGGGAGCCTGACGTGGGATTCGATCCCGGGTCTCCAGGATCGCGCCCTGGGCCAAAGGCAGGCGCCAAACCGCTGCGCCACCCAGGGATCCCTGGTGCACGTTTAAAATAAAGTTTCTTTTTGTGAAGATATGACTTACATATAGTAAGAGCATTTTCTTTGTTTTTATTTTTCTCCTCTGGAGACAATCTGAAGGACGGTTCCCCCCACCCCCCACCCTCCACTGTGCCCTGTGCACAGGGAAGGAGCAGGCACAGCCACCCAGGTGCCTCCCTCCCTGCCCCGTCTACCAGGTTGGGCCCTCCACTGCCCAACCCCCTCCTTCCCACCACCCCTACCCTCTTCCCACTGCCCCCCCATCCCGCCCACCAGGTCAGCCCCCTACCCCTGTGGGCCACAGCTCCTCTCACCACCCTCCTCCCAGCTGACCACCCCTCCCATCCCTGCCCACCAGGCGGCTGCCTCGGTAATGGTGTCAGCAAATTCCTCACGATAAATCTGTTACACCTGCCATCTACCCACCTACCCACCCCTCTCTTTGGTTCTGCTTCTCTGGACACTGGTGGTGTAACGTCTCACAAGTGCCTCAGTTTCCCTGTCTGTAGAGTGGGAGTCAATACTAACTCCTCCTCAGAGGGCTGTTGTGAGGGAGAAGGCACTAACTGACTGCAGGGCTGGCAGGTCCCTGGCACTGCCAGGGTGCTGTGGTTCTCCCCTCTGGCATCCTGGGGGGTGTTTTAGGGCTCCCCAGCATTCTGGGGGGCCCGGCTCCACTAGTGTGTGGTCTCTGTCCCGGGCGCTGCCTGCAGCCCTTGGTTCTACCGTCCCAGGTGGAGCTGGGGATTGTCCAGCGTGCAGCCTCCATCCGCCGGCCTGCACCTGCTGTCTGTGGCCTCCGGGGTAGACTGCAGCTGGCACACGGGTGCAAAGTCCAGCTGCGATCCCTGAACACAGTCCTGGTCCTCGTGCGGAGCCGTGGGCCGTGCTTTCGTCAGGAGCGCCTCTGTGACCTCTGCAGCAGGTTTCCGTGTCCTCTCGGGATACCCCAGATCCTTACTGGTGCCTCTTCCTGTGGCTTCCAGGGATGCCTTAGCCTTGTTCCAGGGCTCTACGGAGGGCTCTCTGGTCTGTGCGACGGCCTTGAGCCTTCTTCCTTGTCAGCGCTTGGTTCTGCTTTGGTGCATTGTGCATTTTGGTTGCTGCTCTGTGGGGTTCGCATCTTGGCTTCCGGTTCTGCCGTCGTGGGTAGGCCTCGTTTTCTTTCTTTACCTCTGATATCTGTAGTTTTCACCTCATTCTTAGGTTCTGCCTTCTAATTTCTAAGCTCTTCTTAAAAGCGTAGGATAAATAAAATTAAATACGCTTTAAAACGCTGTCTTCTTGAGGTCTCAGGTGAAGCACTTGTGGGGATTTCCTTCTGTCCTCAGGGCTATTTTATTCTGGAAGGTTTTTCATGTCTCTGCACGAGTGTGCTGAGGGCTGCTGGGTCATTCCTTTTTGTTTTGTGTGGGTGTGCAAAGTGGCTCCTCCCTGAGGACAGGAGGGAGGTGGAGCAGGAGAGAAGGGGGGTTCTCCAAGGTGAGCCCCCTGCCCCACGGAGGACACGGAGGAGCCAGCCTGCTGCTTTTTTTTTTCCTTTTTTTGAGTAAAAGTATCACTGCATTTATTTTCATATGCGTGATTCTTCTACAGCGTCAACGTTTTCCTCTCGAAATCGCAAAGCTTAGAACTGGATCTCTTGGCCTTTTCTCTTCTTATCTGCTCCCAGTCCGAAACGCTTGCATCTCTTAGTGGCCAGCATCCTCTTGGACCTGCAGTTTCGTTCAACGCATTCAAGCCTCAGCACAACCTTCTCTGTGGTTTTAGCCTTCTTCCGGAAAATTGGCTTTGTCTGCCCACCATAGCCACTGTGCTTCCGATCATAGCGCCTCTTTCCCTGGGCGTAAAGGGAATCCTTGCCCTTCTTATGCTGGGTCACTTTGTGAGGCTGATGCTTTCCACACTTCTTACTGAAAGTCCTTCGGGTTTTAGGAACATTGACCCTCTCTGCAGTGCCGGTGTCTGCACGACGAAAACGGGAAACTCGGCGTCCACCCGCCTCACCACCCCAAATGTGGGCTCTGAGGGTCCGAGCGACAAGGCGTGGGGCCCTCTCGACTGTTACTTTCCCGGAGAAATGAACCCAGGTTGAAAGTGACCGAAACCCCAGAGCACCACCAGGCTCTGGGGCTCCTTGACCAGTGAGGCTTGCAGGGTGGCGGGCCTAACCGCTATCAATTAGTCACCAAACAAAGATCGCCCTGTCGATTTGAATTAGCTCAGATAAGCCACTTAATTTAATTTTAAAGTGACTATGAGGTGCTTAAAAGAGCAGAAGAAATGACAAACAAGGCTTCTCATCGCATTTGTCCCCAAGCAGTTGACTGTGCATCAACGTTGTCAGTTTAATTAGCTTCCGCCGGCAAGGGAAGCAGCATGGCCCGGCTCTAGTTCATGCCAGGGCAGCTTTTGGGGGCCCATGGTTGCCGGGCTGCCACCCAGCTGCGGCCGCTTAGCCCCCAGCTCTGCGCAGCTCCCTGCTCCTGCTTCCTGCAGCCCGGGACAGCCTGGGCAGGCAGCCTCTGGCGATGAAGCTCCAGGCCTCCTCAGCGCCAACACATCACAGACCCCCTAGACCCCAGCAGCGTCGGAGGGTACAGTTCCAGCACGCTGGTGAAAAGTGGCATCTCCTCCTGTTGGGAACAGGCTGTCCTCACTGTAGCAACTGCGCTGCCATCCCCTCCCCGCCCCCAACACGCACCCGAGCACCAATCCTTGAAGCGGGGCTGTGGCTCCTAGGGACACAGGACGCAGTTCCCGTGAGCCTCAGGTCACCTCTTTGTCCCCTGCTCAACAGACCACTTTATTTGGTCGTGTTTCTGCGTAGAGACACTTTATTTAATCTACATTGTCATCGACCTCCACCAGCGAGAGAAGTTCCACCTGAACAAATGCGTCAAACTGGAGCATTTTCTCCGCTGGCTCCCTACCGCGCTCCTGGGCTTAGGACACACGCTTGGCACCATGCTGGGGGCCACTTTAAACAGTGGACTTACCCACAAGAGCCACAGAAAGGTGAGAACAGGCAGCATGCAGCCCGTGAGGACGGTGCCAGGCAGCAGCGGGAGCAGCCGCGCCGTGCCCCGAGGCTTACCAAGGAGTCAGGGGCACAGAGACGCGGCGCACCCCGCACCCTAACAAGCCCGGCTCATCAGCAGGGCCTTGATGTTGAGGATGATCTTGTCATTGGTGGAAACTGCAGGGCGTTCCTAATGCATCAGCCAGTGTCCCCGGGGAAGAGGGACCAGGACTTAGAGCACCACCAGGAGGCAGGGCGAGGGAGGCAGCCGCCCAAGCCGGGAGAGTCAGGGAGGGTCCTAACCAAGCCTACGGAGGGAGCAGGGAGCACGTCCCGGCCACACCACACCGTAATTCTGGGCTTCTGGACCCAGAGCTGCGGGAGGAGGAGGAGGCCTCCGTGCTTTCGAGGCCCCAGCTTGAGTTCTTTGTCAGGCACAGTGTTCGGGGCAAGCTGCACGGGGCATGGCCGGCCAGTGGTTGGGGTCCCACGCAGGCAAGTGACACGGCTTCCAGGCTAGCAGCGGGTGCCTGAGAGGTTCCCCCTCAGGGCCCTTGGTAGCAGGGCCGCGGCTGGCCACGGGCACCATCACCTCCTCAGCGCCCCAGGCTAGCGCATGGGGAGACTCTCAGCACACCCGAGGTTGTGGGGGAGGCTGTGTGGTGGGTGCCCAGCGGACAGGACATTTGCCAGGGGCTTCCAGGTGCTGTGGGTGTCATAGGCCAGCTGGGGGATCCACGTTTCCGATGCCCAAATGTGTGGTGGCCTCCCTGACCTCTAGCCGGAGTTCTGTGTCTCACGACCAGCACTGGGCCCTCCCAGTGCCAGGAGCTGGCGCCCAGGGCCAGTGTGCCCGGAGGGATGCAACTCCCCACCGTGAGGTCAGCCCTGTGCCCAGGGGTCGGCTGCCAAGGCACCAAGAGAGCCGTCCCCGCACCTGCTGTGTGGCCCTTCATCTGCGAGACACCCTGGGCTTCCCAGAAGCTGTCGAAACTGCTCCCCTGGGCTGTGAGGAGGGAACTTCCCCCGGGTTTGCCTAGAGCCCTGGAAACAAGTTACGCCCCGCTCTGCTGCCTGAGGTGTCCCAAGGGCCTGAAAGAGCTTTCTCCCGTGCGGGTTCTCTGCCGCCAGCAGTGGTGAGGCCCACAAGCCAGCTCCCAGTGCCGCTGCCTCCCCCCCAACATCCCCCCCAATCCCTCTATCCGCCTGGGTGTGCCTGGGGTGAGGGCTCAGCCCTGAAATCCACTAGTGCCCACAGTGCCCTGGAGGCAGGACCCACATGCCCGGGCCACCCTGTGCCTGCAGGGAGTCAGGGGCCCCAGGACCAGGACGGGGCGGGTGCTGGGGGGCGTGTGGTCTGTGGAGGAGGCTGCAGACCTCAGCGCCCCCCCATCTCATTTCCTCTTCCAGGCATCCCCTCCCTCAGGGCCCTGAGGCCACTGCTGTGGTGGGGGAGTGGGGGTGGGGGCTTCTGGGCTTCTCAGAAGAGTCTTCGTCCCTGTGAACATCGAGTCCCTGGCCAGCCCCACCCAGGAGCCCCCTCCCTGTCCCCCATCTCTGGTTGTCCTGGTTCCCTGCCCCACTCCCTGCTCTACTCTCCCACCACCCACATCCAGCCCTGGTCCCCGCTTGCTCCCCCACTGTCCTCCCTGCCCTGCTCCCCCCAACCTGCTTCCTGGCCCACTCCCTGCCCTTCTCTTGGGGACCGCACCCTGGGCCAGGCCCCCGCTTCCCACAGGGTCCACTCACCCAGCCAGTCTCAACCATAACTGAAGATTCATTGGAGCAATAAATATTTTTATCAGACAAAATTAAATTCTGATGCACGTGATCTCTGTCAAGAGCAGAGCAAAGGGAAAACCTCTGTGTGTTCCCTGCTCCTCATTAGAAGCATCTGCTTGTGAACAGCCCTGCCCAGAGCCCCACTGCTCATTAGGTTTGGTGACCAATGAACCGTTTTAAATAAACAACATGAGTTTTTCTAAATTCACTGCAGAGCCAATTTAGAATTGGACTAATGGAAGAAGTGGACTTGCTATTAAGTTTTATTAGATTCTATTTGCTTGTATCTTTGCCATTTGAACATGACTATTGGTTAAAAAGAAATTAAAAAAAAAAAACCATTCAGTGCAGCCAGGGAGAGTGCAGGGGAACAGGTGTGGCTTGGAGCAGGTCTGCCTAGGAACCCCTGACTGGCACCAGGGCAAGTGTGAGTGCGCCTGGTGCTGCGTATCTTCCGTCCTCAGAGCCTCTGTGTCCCCACCTATAAAATGGACACAGAAGTTCTCAGCACCACTCAGGGTTATTTTGAGGATGATGTGGGATTGCAATTTCAAACCTATTTCTCCCTCTTCCTCCGTCTTCCCAGAGTGCTCGCCAGCACTTTCCCAAGCAGGTGGGGATAGGGGATCACTTGGCTGTAGACCAGCTTTGCTCTGGCAAGAGCCCCCTGTGTTATGCGGCTGAGAAGACGCTGTGTCCGGAGCCCTGGGACGATGCAAACAGGGAGGCACTGGTTGGTGTCCAACAGCCGAGCATTCCCACTGACGAGTATGTCCACCTCAGACAACTTCCAGCCACCCACCTTCCATCTGGGAGCCTGCCCTCGCTTCCACATGATAGATGAACCAAGAGTGCGGGTGATAATGAAGTGGGAATAAATAGCAAGTAGTGAGCTTGGAGTATTTACCTTTGTTTTCAGCATAACATATTTAATTGTAGGTTCAGGGTAATTTACTTTCGGCGATAGCTGTATTTCACAATTGGTTCACAGAATTCCTGAAAATGTAAAAAATGACTCCTGCAGGTGGGTATGGTCCAGCTGGCAGACATCACTGGAGGTGACAAAACCTGCCTGATTTCCTCTCGAGCACTGCTCCACAGGACCCAGGTGCCCATCTGCGATGGTGGGTGCTCCCGTTGCTCCTGTAGCTCCAGCCCCACAAGTGGCCCAGGCTCCTGGTCCCTTCAGCTGCTGGAAGGTGAGTCCCAGGATGCCCCAGCACCCCCCACCTTGAAGCCTCGGCACTTCCATCATGCGATCTGTTGCCTGCATGGGAGCCCCGGTTTGATGGATCCTTGCTGGCACGGTGGGGTGGCCTCAACCACAGACCAGTGTCTCAAAAGAAGACAGAGGAGAAATTACTGTGCTTTGAAGCCGAGGAAGTGTGAACACGAATCAAGTCAGGGTTTCGGGGGCTGGGTTCACTCCAGGACAACCCGCGGATGGTGTGAGAGCGTCTTCTGAATCCAGGATGGTGGGGTGGGGGGTCAGGGCAGTGCATGTCACTGTGAGTTGGGATAGACAGGGATCCGCACCAGCGGGAATGCCCACCAGCCACTGCCACGGCCACGCCTCACCGCGACCACAGAATTGGTCAGGAACGTGTCCACAGACCTGACGATCTGCCAGGCCACCCTCTGCTCTCTCCATTCTCAGTCCAAAGAGCCCAGGGCCATCAGCTGGGCTCCTTGGACTGAGTTCCCCAACCCCAGGCCCTGGATTCTCAGGCAGTTCTGGAAAAGCCCAAGCCTGGGTGGAGGGCACAGTTGCTCACGAGGCAGGGAGGTCTGCAGTGAACAAACGTAAGAGAGCTCTGGGACCAAGCCCTGTGGGAAGGCGGTTTGTCTGTCTTGGATACAGCAGACAGAGCGCCACTGCCTCGAGCCCACTGCTATGGTGCCCGTAGGCCCGGCTGCCTGTCCTCGGTGACCTGCGTCCTCAGAGCCGGGCGCCAGCCAGGACCCAGCAGCAGGCCTTCAAACCGTGCCGCCTCCCGTGAGGATGGGAGGTTTGTGGCGACACTTCCATCTTCTGCGAGGCTGTGTGGCACATCCAGCACTTTGATGAGGCTGTCAGTCTGCCTGATGAATTGTGACACCAAGAGTTTTATGGTTTTAAGCTGTGACACTTTCTATTCTAAACCACTGGCAATCCCCTTAGTGGGCCCATGGCTGCTACATCTCACCCTCACTCAGGACACCCCTGGATTTGAGCGTGCTCAGGTCTTTGGTGGGAGGTGGACTCTGGAGGCCTCACTCACTACCAGCTATTTGCCTCCATTATGGTCTTAAAATTGGGGGATGATCTGAAATAGAGGGTTTCTGGGGACTTGGGTCAGAGCTGGTCAAGTTCCCTGGGGAGAGCGGGGACCTCGGGATGGGCAGGGCTCCCTGCAGCAGCAGAAAGTAGGGGACTGGGCCCCAGGAAGGAGCAGGGGAGGAGCAGCAGGGAGCAGGGGGAGCCATGGGGCCTGGGATGGGGGTCAGTGAGGTGCAGACTCCCGGGGTCTCTGCGGGGCCAGAGAACAGCGGATGCCAGATTGGGTGCCCTTTGACCCCGAGGGTAGGTCAGAGCCTCCACCTTCCCCAGAGATGGCCCATAGGAGAGGGAGAGGAGCTGCTGTCTCAGGGCTCGGATGCCCTGGCCCTACCAGAACAGCGCTCCTCTGCAGAGACAGGCACGGCTGGGGCAGATAGCTGTGATGTTTCCCTGGAGGGGCAGGTGGGCCCCTGTCCTCCCTGGAAGGTGGGCTGCCTGGCCCCGGACAAGGGGAACATGTGGGTCATATGTGCCCCCAGCCTGAAGCCCTGCCGTCCAGAAACCCTGCCAACCTGCTCCAGGCTACTCTACAAGAATGGGGGCGACTTGGAAATCACAGATGGCGCCACCATTTCTGCCCCTGGGAGACCCCAGGAGGGACACCAGGAGGACATATCGGGAGCCCCCACTGGGAGGACTGGGTGGTTCGGCTTGCAGAGGCTCGGCCTCTGTCTGGGTGAGCCAGGCCAGCCTGGAGGCCCTGTCATCAGATGGCCCAGGCCTTCCACTCAGAATCATGGTGCAGCTGGTGTCAGGGTGCTGCTGGCATAGGGGTGCAGCCAGTATGGGGGTACTGGTAGTTTCAGGGAGCAGCTGGTGTCAGGTGCACCTGGTGTTGGGTATAGCTGGGCACCAGGTCTGATGGGGGACGGGGACAGGACTATCCAGCTTTGCTCCCAGGTAGATGCACCCCATCCGCCCTGTAACGTTCAGTGCAATCATAAAACACCGTCCTGCCCAGAGACAGCATTCTTGAGCCCCTGGGACGGCCCTGTGGGGCCTGTGCTGCTTCTCCACTCTGGCCCTGGAGCAAGAAAGCTGTGCCGGACAATATAGGAACAGATGGGTGTGGCTGTGTGCCAATAAAACTTTATTTATAAAAACAGGCACAGGGCCGTGGGTCATCATTTGCTGACCCCTGCCTCAGAGCAATAAGGGGAAGTGCCTGGCCCTGGGTGAGATGGTACAACAGGGGCCCCGATCCCGGACGACCCAGCAGGTGGGACTCCTGTGAATGAGACAAGCCCTGTGCCCTCTGATCCACTCTGTGCCAGATGGAAGCAGCGCAATCTCCTAGTCTCAGCACTGCCCGGGGCGCCGTGCGGACCACTGCAGCTGCGTCTGCTGTGTTTCCCTGTCCCCAGCCTTGGAGAGGGCTCTGCTCTGCTCTCCCGGGTTTTGCCTTAGATGACCAGAAGACGGAAGAGGGCACAGTTCTGCCTGGAGGGGACGGGAGCTTGGCAGCCCTCTGAGTTCTCGGGGGTTACTTTGACGAGGGGGGGATGTACAGGGGCTTCAGCACATGCAGAGAGTGGGCCGTCCCAGTGGCCTGGACAGGAATACCGGAGAAAAGGCACGTGATTTGGAGCTGGAGTTGGCTTCAGGGTCTGTGCTCCTGGTGGGGTGGCTGGTCCTGGGCATCTGCCTCCAAGTGCACGGGGAGATCCCCGCTGTCCCAGAGACATGGCCTGTTGGCAGCTGAGCTGAGGTCCCGGCCAGGGGTGGCGCAGAGCACATCCAGGGCCCTTTGGGTCCCAGTGGCGCGGTAGGAGGGAAGGGGCCTGAGTCCTGGCACCCGGCCCAGCAGGTGGGCCCGATGCCTTCCCCAGGTCCTTAAGGTATACATCAGGGGAGGGGTGCAGGGTGGGGCTGGGGTCAGTGCCGCCCATGCTTGATCCAATTTCTAATGGTCCACTTCTGCCCTGAGCACCTCTGCACCACCAGCCGAAGCCCGAAGTTGGCGTCCTTGGACATCTCCACCTCCAGGCACCTGCCAGTGTCTCGGCTCACGATGGGGCCACTCTGTGGGGAGGGGAACCGGGTTGGCATGGACACCTTGGGGTCCCTGAGAGCATCTCGGGAGTGGGGGTGATGACACACACCCCATGCAGGTCACAGCTTGGCCACCGGAGACTCGGGGAGCTATCTGTCCCCCATCCCTTGTCCCTGCCTGGTCCTCTGTCCTCGGGCATCTTTACCCTACCAGCCACGTCACCAGCCTGCCTTGCTCCTGGAGTCTAAGGAGTGACTTAGCAAAATGGAGACAGGGCCCCGAGATGGAGGGCTCGCCCACGTGCCTCCTGCCTTTATCATATCTGACTTGCCCATCGATCACCCCTGCAGCTTCCCTGGTCCTCCAGACACCAAGGACTCTGGCCCAGCCTGAGGACCCCAGGTTGTATACTATGTGTCCTCCATTTTTTCCAAACAGGTGCTTCTTACCATCCCAACCCCAAACCTGGTGTCCTGGGGACCTCTGACGCTTACTGACTCTGCCTCAAAGCAGGACGGCTCACCCCTGCAGCCTCTCCTGTAACTGGAAGCCCTCAGACCCCAACGCCGAGGGCAGGGCCACCTGACAGTGTTCATTTGTCATGGGTCCACCCCATGGGAGTGATGGCAGAGGGCATGCAGGGCTGAGGTTGGGGGACAGAGACAGGGATGTCTCCTGGAAGACACCTGCAGCCCCTGCTGGGGAAGGGGACGGTCAGGGAAGGCTGGGAGTGGCTCCCCAGGGTACAAAGACCCTGGTGGCAGGTTTCTCAGGACCCTCACAGTGCAGTGCCATGGGTGGAGAGTTCTAGAGGAGCAGATCAGACACTCTGATCCTCGACCCCAGATCCTGGCAATGCGACGTCAGGGTCTGAGCACACATGACGGCTGACATGAGGTTACAGCGGAGCAGGTGGCACCCGTCCCATGCCAGTGTCCTCAACAGGGGAGAGATTTGGATACACAGAGGCCAGATGGCAGGAAGAAGGAGGAGGGAGGGGGCCTGGAGAGGCTGGAGTGGCAGGAAGGACCCCCCCAGGGCCCACGGTGGGAGCACCGCCCTGTAGATGCCTGGTTGGAGTTCCAGCTCCACGAGGGGGAGAGTGTGCCTGTCGGGTGATTCGCTGGCAGCCTCGGAACACAGCGGGGATGTAGGATGCAACTGGGTTTTAGGGAGAGGGGTAGGGTACTGCTCAGGCATGTAGGGTGCTTGGCAGGGCTGCGGGAGACAGGGGTTCCGGGTGAGGTCACGGGAGGACACATGGGAGTTCCTCACCACGGAGGGTGAATGGGGGTGAAGGCGACCTCGGGGCTCCCAGAGAAGAGTGTGCAGTATTTGGATGGACGCAGAGCAGGGCGAGCTGAGGGTGGGCACAGGGCAGGGGGCAGTGGACAGGGCCCCACGGAGGAAGGCCAGCTGGATGCCAGTGGGGGCAGGAATCTGCTCACAGGAGGCCCAGGGCCACGGGGCTGGCAGAAGCTGGAAGGCCCTTCCCTGGGCGCAGGCGGCCCGCTGGGGATGGTGTGCGGTTCTCGCCCGGGTGCCACCCTAGCCAGTGGCTGCTCTTGGGCAGGGGCCTGTGTCGGAGTGGCCGATGGGGGCACGGAGGCCACCTGTGACTCACCTGCCCTAGTGTTTGCTCTCGGGGCGGGAACTTCTAACCCAGTGTCATGGTCCCAGCAGCCCCAGGGCCCGGGGGGCTGATTCCCGCAGAGCCTGGCCAGCAGTGGCGGCAGGGCGAGTCTGGGTAGGGGCAGGGCCTTCCATCTGCCTGTCCCTTCCATGCGACCGCGCCCCGGGAGGCCAGAGGACGCAGGAGAGTGAGGGCGCTGCAGCGCATGACCAGCCCAGTGGGCCCCTCCCCGGCTGAGTGACCCTGGGCAAGCAGCCTAACCTCTGAGAGGGGTCAACCCCTCCTGCCCTCACAGCTCCCACCCCAGGGGCCAGCCCAGGGGCCCTGGGGGTCTCAGCCGCCCGCTGACCTGGGTGAAGTCCCACAGCCGCTGCGCAGGCCGGGCCACATCCTCGCACTTCTTCAGGGCGGGCGTGCGGCTCCTGCCCTCATCCACCAGGCACTTGGAGTCCGGCAGGAAAGCAGTGGAGCCCAGCGGCCCCAGCTGCAGCAGGCCCCCTGTGCTGTACCGCACCAGCTGCCGCGGGACCGGGACAGGTGTCAGGGAGGGCGGGAGGGCGAGGCAACGCCACCCCCACCAGCCCGCTCACCACGACTAGCCCTGGGGCGGCGGGGAGGGGCTGGTGTGCCCAGAGAGCCCACCTGGGGATGCCCTTCACATAGCCCCGTTCCCTGGCCCTGCTCCTGCCCTAGGATCCCCAGCAGGACTGCCTCCCTCCCTCCCTCCCTCCCTCCCTCCCTCCCTCCCTCCCTCCCAGAACTTTGCTCTGAGGAGGAGACTGTCACACATGCCCTCAGGGCCCCCATCTGCCCTCAAACAAGCCTGAGGTGAGCATATTTCCATGGGGAAGGCAACCCCAAGTTCATGCATGCCTCGATCCTGCTTCACGTGTGCTCATGACAGAAGCCAGTCCTAGAGATCCTTGCCATTCCCAGCTGTGGCCTTGGGCAAGTCGTGCCACTTTCTCGGCCTGCGGTCCCTTGTGCAGGAGTTTCTGACAGCGCCCGCCCAGCAGGGCTGCTGTGAAAATCCCATGGACGCAACGCAGAAGCAAGCAGCACCAGCTCCATTAACCAGCAGGCGTCCCTGTACCTCAGCCCTCTCCCCGCAGGCGCGAGTTTGCACACACCTGGATGCACTGCTGCTGTGTTTTCCAGCACAATCCCATGGAACATAGGCAGCTCCCACCCTACATGCTCCGTGGCAGTGACTCTGAGCTCTCCTATTAAGGGTGGGGATCTGCGACCGCCTCTGGGTCTTTCTGGGGAGCATGTGAACATCCCGGTGTGCTGCTGCCCGACCTCTGAAGTGGGCGCCCCTGGCTGTCCTGGGGCGCTTGCCCTCAGAACCGGGCGGCCTGGGGAGAGGTCCCAGGGGAGGGTCTGCGGCCCTCCTGAGCAGACGGCACAGCTCGCCAGCCGGGTGAGCCCCAGCTTGGAAGTGGGTCCTCGGTCCTGCTGGGTGGTCTGGGCTGGCGTGGCACCAGCGCATGTGTGAGCCACATCAGGAGCAGTCTTTCGGGCTACGTGGTTTGTGGCATCTATCTCGTGCCCAGGACGTGGAGACAGCCTCAGCCCCCCCGATCATCTCCTGCAGTTCTTTGTTTGGTGCGTACACATCCTCCCCCGGGGCGCCAGCCGGAGAATCGACCACGGTGTCTGATGAGCCCGGGAGACTGGATGTCCTCTCGGAGGCCACGTCAGACTCCTGGTGGGTGAATCTGTCTTTTGTCTCAATGTGGAAGCAGCTGGGAGAGGCCCAGTGGGGTCCTGGGACGAGGCTGTGTGAGGGGCACAGTGAGGGGAAAACCACACTCTGCTCCAGCGTGACAGGCTCAGCCCTCATGCCTGCCCCACGCCACCGCTTCTCCATGACCGGGGCTGGCACAGGTCACTGCAGGTTTCCAGTGCAAGGACATCCGAGTGCTACCCAGACGCAGAGAGCTCGTGGAGGGGAGCCCAGTGTCATTTGGGGAAATCACTCTGGGGCTTAATTTAAATCAAGCTGACGGTCATTCTGAAGAATCACCTTTATCAGCAGAAGATGTGCCGGGACCAGAGTCATCAGGCTCCACGCCGGGGCCTGCACTTCAGCATCACCCTGAGCTCTGAACACACACCTGCCCCTACATCATCTGGTTCTGTGGGCCTGGAGCCTGGACGTCAGTGTAGACATTTCCAAAGCCACCCCCCACGCCCAGCAATGATTGAAGATCACTGGGGGGAGCTTGTAAGAACGAGCGGGAACCATGATACCTCCAGGTTCTGTCCACACTATGGCAAACGCTTTCCCACACAACCCACTCTGGTCCACACGAGAGCCCTGAGAGGTACCATCACAGCCCCATCGGATGGATGCAGACCGAGGCAAGCAATTTGCCCAAGGCTTGCTTGGCACCGCAAGCCCTGCTCTGAGTCTACCTGGGGCAGGGGGGATCTCCCCGAGGGTCCCCACGCTGCCCCTGAGAGCTTGGACTTAGCCTGCCACGCCCCTACCTGGGAGGACATCCCGTGGCACGGATAGAGGATTGCGCGGTCATCGTCTTCTGCTCCCTGGTCCAGGCAGTAGCCGCTGGCTTTGCTGTTTCTCACCTATGACCAGAAACCGAAGGAGAAACCTCACGGTGAGGGTGGGGGTTCCCAGAGACCAGGGCAAGGCCACCCCATCCCCACTCAGGGCAGAGGGGCCTGCTGGGTGGCCAGCACCTTGGGAGTGTGAGCTGCAGGAACGGACAGGCCAGTCAGGACCGTCCGCCCTGGACACTCCTTCTCCTAGCCTCACACCGGGCGCTAGCCAGGCCGGAGTGCCCATGTTCCTTCCACATGGGGTCCCGGGTTCCCCAGAAACAGCTGGAGCCCCGAGGGGAGGGGGGCGCCTTCCCCAGCAGCACCATTCAGGGTGATGGGCCGGGGGGAGGGGAGGGTACAGAGCACCCTTTCTCCCTGGCTTGAGAGAGACCCGAGAGCGTGGTTGTGCCCGCAATGGCTGGTGCAGACATGTGCATGTCACGCAGTCAACGAGCCTGAGCCCACAGATGCGTCGTTTGCACTTAGATAATGCACAGTGGTGATGTGAGTGTGTCACTGCGTCCGTGCCAGTGGTTTTGGAGCACCTGCTCACCTGACAGTTTGTCTTCAGGGCAGGACCCATGAGTCTGCGTGCACATGAGCAAAACTGTGTGCAAAGGTGTCCTTCCGTGTCTGAGTGCACTTGCACATACATGAGTGCAGACTAACGTATTCACAGGGGCCCACGTTCATGCGGATGAATAGATGTGCACGTTCGCGCGTGGGTGTATTTGTGCACATACGTGTGCCACTGTGTGCTTGGCTGTGAGCCTAGGCCTCTCTTCTGCTCCGCACCCTGTATGTGTGCATGTGGCTGTCTATGCCCGTGAGCACTCATGTGCCTGTGGGTGAGGGTGTGGCCTGGGGGGCCCTCCCAGTGGAGGCGGTACCTCTCCGTACGTGAGGGTGTCGTTGTAGGTCCTCATCTCCGGGTACACGTTCTCCAGGTACCACTTAAAGCTGCGGCATTTCAGGCGCTGCCGTAGGGCCAGCCGTTCAGACACGTCCCCAAAGTCCACCCCTGGGTTCTGCAAGGTGGGAAGTGAGGCAGGAAGGGAGCTGGCATTGCTGAGTCCCCAGGGCCAGGTCTCTGCCTGTGATGGGGGACCCCCAAGACCTGGGGGCAGCCCCACCCCTTCTCTTCCCCCAGAACCCCTGGAGGTCTGGGCAGCAGCTCCCGATGGGAAGGGCCTTTTTCTCCAACCTGGGCAGATGGCCCCTGGCTGTGGGCTGGCTGGGAGGTCACCTCTGAGCCCTGGGAATACACTGCCTGACTAGAGTGCTGTTTAGCTGGAATCTCTGCAGACAGTCTACACTGCGGGGTGATGTATGGGAGCTCTGGGCCATGGTAGGGTATCAGCTTGATCACTGCTCCCACAGCCCAATGGGAGGCTGGCCATGTGTGTGTGGACGAGCCCTAGAAAAAACTGAGGCTTGCTGGATGTCCCTGGTCAGCAACATACTGTGCACCGCATCCCATGGCATTGCTGTGAGAGGGCTCTCTGTCCAGCTCCTGGGAGTCTGTACTTACTGCAAGAACCATCACCCTGAGCACAACAGCTTCCCTGAGTTCTGGGTCCTTCTAGCCAAACGCTGAACCGCAGGGTAGCCTTGGGGTCCTGGCTGCGGCAACGGGCACTAAGCTTTTGCGGGTGTGAGCAGGTTTGAGCCGGTGCCCTCGTCTGGCTCCACTCTGGGCTGCAGACAGCTGGCCAAGCCCGTGGCTGGAAGGCGTGCTGCCCTCGGGGTGCCCCTGCTGCCTCATCCATGTGGTGGGCACAGCTGCAGAGATACCCCAGGGCCTTCACATCAGGATCCGGTGAGTCGTGGGAAGGGAGGCCCCCGAGGCCCCAAGAATTAGATATGGGAGGGCATCTGCTGGCTCTGGCTCGGAACAGATGACCCCTCATGCCCGCGGCCTGCAGGCCCCATGGGAACAGCACCCGGGTTCCCTTCTGAGAAGTAATGGGGACGTTTCCTGCATCTGTTCCCTTGGTGGGAAATGAGGCTTTCAAGAGACACTGAGCCCTCCGTCCCTCTCTGATAAATGTGTGTGTTTCCGTGGCGTTCTTCCTCCTGCTGGCAACTGCCATGTGGGGAACTGGAGGGGCAGTAGGTCTGCCCACAGTGGTCCCTCCTCCCTCCCTAGGGGGTCGTGTGAGCCGGTGGCCCCGCCTAGCACTGGGGCAGCATTACCCAAATGCCAGGCACGCCCCGCTGGTGGGTGGCGTGCTGGTTCAGGAGGGTGCGGAGAGAAACTCACGTAACAGACATAGCGTGTTTCTGTGACTTGCGTCACGTGTTTGAAGCTCTGTGTATGGACAGGGAAGCACACACAGATACACATGGGTGTGCGGGGTCGTGACACAAGATGTGGCTCTTACTGTGGGCTGATGGGTGTGGGGGACCCGCGGCCTCACACGCTCCCATGGCCAGGGAAGCAGCAGCACGAGTGCGGGGGTGCCCAGCAGCCTGGATGTCACCCCACGTAAGGGGTGGCCTCTCTCAGCACCTGCCCTCAATCACTGTCGCAGAGGCAGGGGAACAGGTCTCCTAAGTTTCTAAGAAAAGCCAGAATATGGGCTATTTATGGGAAATTAGCTGATTACAAAGTAAAAAATCACAAACAGGGGCCCCTAACTAGACATGTGTCAAAAGCACCTGGACCGGAAGCAGGTGTCCATGGTGGGGGGGTGTGGCCTCCCGCACCCTGGATGTGGAGATTTGGCCACAGGGAGGAAGAAGCCCCGGCGCCCACGACACCGCCGATGCACCTGGAGAACACAGAGCCCAGCGGAGGAGCCAGACACAATGGGGGAGACGTTGTAGGGTCCACTTGTAGGAAGTGGGCACATTGGAAGACATGGATCAGGCAGGAGGCCGTGGGGGCGGGCACACGGGGGCTAGCAGCTCACGGGCAGAGCGATTCTGGCTGGGGTGAGGTTTTTGGAACTAGGTCACTACCTAGTCCCTGGTTGCAGGGCATTGTGGGTGTGCTCAGCGCCCGCGAGCTGCATGCTCTAAAAAGGCTGAAGTGGTAGCTTTGGTATCATGTGTGTTCAGCCACAGCAAAACATAAAGAGAAGCCACGTACGTGAGCTGGCTGGCAGGCAGGGAGCCGGAGTGGCCCCGCACCCCCGGAACCAACGTGGGGCCAGTTTGTGGGTGTTTCTAGGCGGGTGGGTGGATCCCTGGGTGGGGTGAGCGGGGAAGAGCCAACGCTCACATGCAGCCGCCAGCAGCTCCCTTTACCATGGAAAACATCCACCACAAAGCGTGGGGCCCCTAAGCGGGACCGGCATTCGGGGAGCCTCTCCCAGATGGGCCCCCTCGGGGTGGGGTGCGCCTGCACCCTGGCCCGGCTCGCCCCACCCTCCACGCCTCCACCCAGCTTACGGTCATGGGGATGTTCCAGGCCATGTACACGTGGGACTTGAAGCTGTCCATCCACACCTCGGCTGCCCGCAGGGCATTGCGCTTGGCATAGTAGTCGATGTCATTGTTGTAGGGCTTCTTGGAACGCTCGATGTGAGCCACGCGGGAGCAGGGCAGCACCTCCATGCTGCCGCCGCACTGCCACACCTTTGGGGACACCATACAGCCACTGGGTGGCCCCAGGCCTTCCCGGTGTAGCCCACACCCCTGCTTACAGGCCCCAGGACACGCCTTCCAGAGGGCACCGTACGGTGGGCTTTCCCCAGGAAGAGCATCTGTGGCCTTGGGGCAAGTGCTCTGGGGCCTGGGCACACGGTGCCTTCCCTTCTGGGTTTCCTACCGGATTTCATCCCCCTGCCCCCCACTGCCCGAGTGCCTGCTCTGCGTGGGGCGGGGTGGAGGGGGGGGCGCCTGGCCCAGGGCTCACATACCAGCAGCCGCCCCCCAGCCCCGGGAACAGACCCACAAAGTAATTTGAAAAGAGGACGCCAACCAGTCCACACACCTGCGATCTAGCACTTACTTCGCAAATGCAGCTCCAAGCACTCCAAACACACACTCTTGGCTAAAGGGAACATCTTATAGCTGCTTCCTTGAAAATAGCATCCCCCGAAGTAGCTGACCATCCCCACAGACCCCACCCATGGGAGACAAGTGGTTTGCACCACGATGCCCGGATGCGTGCTGGGTCTGTCTTGTCTCCAGCAGCCCGACCATCCTGACATCCCTGCTCCTCCCTTGCCCGACTCTGCCTCCAGAAAGCAGAGAGGAGGGCAGATCTCACAGCTGACGACTGACACCCCCCCTGGCTGGAGGTCACATCTGGGCAAGTTGCACCTGCTGCGCGTGGGGGAGGCAGTGGGTTCCTTATGATCTGAGCTCTTGGCCACCAGTCTCCTGCTGCCTGGTGCCCTGCCCACCCCGGACCACCCCTCTGCATCCCTCGCACAGGGCCCAGGGGGCAGCTCCTTTGAGACGATGGCACAGATCCTGCCCCGGGACCAGGGGTCCCACTGAAGTTTGCTTCTCTGTGCTGAGCGGTGAGCAGCCGACACTCTGCGTGGCTTCTAGGGGAGGGGTTGCCGGGCACCAGGAGGACGCAGGGCTTCTGTGCAGCCAGCCTGGGGACTTCCGCCACTTCCACTCGCAGGCCTCCCACCAAACCCAGCCACCGGCCCAGCTGCTGGAACTGGGAACGCAGGTGCAAACGTGTGAACCAGGAATCTTCCCGAAGGCAAACATGGACGTGCAATAGTGGGAGCCCTGCAGGCCTGCAGAGACATTGCCTTGCTGCTCCTCACGCCTCCTGCGGCCACCACAGCACCACGCTGTGGCTCTGGAGGGCCCAGCAGGCCTCTGTGCCGTCACTGTGCTCCCAGGGCTCCCCACCCTCTCCCTCTGCCCCCCATGCCCCCAGGGCCTGCGCACCTGCTCTTCCCTCTGGGGGAGCACCCCCTGTCTCTGTGCCAGGCCACCCACAGGCCTCTGCTCAGATGCCGCTCCTCCCCACCCTCCCCTCTGAAGCTGCAGCCCCTCAGCCCCTCGGCCTCCTGGCTCCCCTGGTCTGTTCCTCCCGACATGTGAGCTCCAGGACGACTGCCCTCCCCTCCGCCCCCGCTGCGGCACTCAGAGCAGCCTGTACGCAGTCCCCGTGCCTGGCAAGCAGTTGTCCGATGAATGAATGGATTCCCTTTGAGGAATGTGTTAGCAGCCACTAGCCCCGCTGCCCCACGGGACTTTGCACAGGGATGGGCATGTTCTGGATCTGGGGGGCCAGTACGGTAGCCACAGCCACGCATGGCCACTGCACCCTTGAAGTGCGGCTGGCCAGGCTAAGGAGCCAGCATCTCTATTTTATTAGATGTCAATTAATTTGGAATTGATTTATGCAGCCACGTGTGGCTAGCACAGCCCTGAGACAGGATGGCTGGAAAGGCCTTGCGGGATCTGGCTCAGGGGCGTCCAGCTTTAGTCGTGTGAGGACGGCTGGACACAGACCCTCGTGTGGGGCTGTGTGGTGAGTTCAGGGCCCCTTCAGGCCCCCATCCCTTTCTTGGGTAAAACTGTCCTCAGAGGGAAGGCAGGGTCCCATGGCAGGGGCGTCGTGCGGCAGGTGGAAACCAACTGTCCTGAAGTAGCTCCCCTGCCCCTGAGCTAGGACAGAGTGAGCTGGGCCCGGGGCTTGTGGGCATCACCGCACAGGCAACTTCTGTGCGGGGCACGGACGAGGGGCTCAACGGGGGCATTTCCACATGGAGGTGATGACGCCATGGCTCCAGACCCTGACTCAAGTCACATCACAGACCCCATGTGCCCCCAACCTGTACCCCGTGCTAGAGGCGGCCATGAAGATCATCCTGGCCAAAGGGATGAAAGCAGAAGTCTCAGGGTGAGGCTTTGGGGAAAGCTCTGGTTTAAGGACATAAGGTCCAGAAGCATGACAGTCATCTTGCAGCCGTAAGGCCACACACACAAGGCTTCAGGCCTATACACTAAGGATGGTGGATAGAAGGTTAGAGCCTGTCAGCCCTGCGCTTTGTTAGAGGCCCAGATCCCCGTCTGTCCCAGCCTGCCTTAGGGGTTTTCTGTTGCTACATTCCTAACCGAGGAAGCCAGACTAGGAGGTGGTACTGGGAGGCGCACTGGGGGTGAACTTGACTCTTACTACTGAGGCACCAAGAGGTCACGAGACAGGTCCATGGTCACACAGTGGCTTCATGGGGTGGGGGTGGGGGGGTGCGAGCCGGAACTACGCATGAGCCCCGAAGCTGCCTCTCCACCCAGAGCCGAGGGGGTGCCACGGAGCAGAGTCACAGGGGCTGAGCACGACTGTCACACCCACCCCAGCCTCCACCACTAATTATCTCAATCAGCGTGGCTCATTGGCACTCACAGAAACAGCAAATACGGAGGGAGGACCAGCTGTCGGGTCTGCAGGCAGCTCTCCAGAGGGAAGGAGCTCAGGGGGCCCCACAGATCGGAGCCCCTCGGACATTGGAGCTGGTGTCCACAGCTGGGGTTCCAGCGGGGTTCCTGAGGGTCCTCTGCCCTTGTGGGCGGGCCCTGCTTCTGAAGAAACCGGAATTTGTGACTGGTCTGCACAGGAGCCAGCAAGCGGCTCATCCACCGTATGAGGTCAGACTGTCCTTGTTGCCGCTGTGCACTGTGAGCCCATGGGGAGCCCCGTGGGAGCCTGGCCATCACGGCTGCCTGCGCCCGGCGCTCCCATGACACCCACGCTGAAGCAAGGTGCCCTGTCTCTCCCTAGCTTCTCCATTGTCCCCACGCCATTGCCATAATCCAAGTGACACTTTCCTGGAGCGCCGCACTATTTAAAGGCCAGAGTTTCCCGCGTCTGAATGTGAGAGGGCAAATGACCCCAGCTGCCTGGCTTTGCCCTCCCCTGCATAGTGCCGGGAGGAGAATGTGCCCTCCATCATTTTTATGGAGATGCTTTCTGGACTCTGACTTCATTTAACTTGTAGCCCAGCATGACACCCGCCCCTCAGTGGCCCTGAGCTTCTCAGCGAGCCCTGTTCGCCCTCACTTGCCCTGAGCTGATCGGTGAAGGGATACCTGAGCCCAAGTGCACACAGTGGGGCCTCTGGAGAGCTCCTGATGGAGAGGCTGGGACAGGAGCCCACAAACTTTACTCTCCATCAGAATCTTTGGGAGTAGCTTAGAATCCTGTGGTCCAGGCCTCATGCTCATCCGACTACATCATGCACACACACACATGTGCACTTACACACACACTTCACCCCTCCCCGGCCCTCCTGTGTCTGTGACAGCCCTGACTGGGGTCGCGGTTCCGTGGAGCAGCTGTCCTGCCCCATGATGCAGACACTCAGGAGGCCACCAGGGCCCCTACATTCTGCAGGCAGCACGAAGCCCAGGCCCCCAGCGCACAGGCCTCCTAGAGCAGAGCTGGCCCTGATGCATCAGCACAGGGCAAGGCCCAAGTTAGGAGGCCAGGGCCTCCAGCAGAGACCCCCGATTCTCAAGGCCTCTGGAGTTGGCTCCACGAAGCATCACTGTGGCCTTAGGGAACAGGGGAAGAGTAGGAGTCCAGATCCTGCTGCTCTTATTCACAGTGGACTCTGCAGACCTCACCACTGCTCTGGGGAGACCTGGTTGGACATGGTGGTCGCAGGTCAGCTTTGCCCTAACTGAACTCCTGAGCATGCTGCAGAAGGGGGCCCGCAGGAGGACCAGTCAGGTCAAAGCTGCAGAGGGGCACACAGATGGGGTCCTGGCCCTCCTCCATCAGAATCTGCTTTGTAGCAATGTTTGAGAAGCACCTGGCGGAGAGCAATGGGGAGAGGAGGCTGCCAGGCCTGGCTCCCACTTATTCCCAGCCCCGATGGCTTGGGCTTCCATCAGATGCCTGCCCCCAAACCAGGCTGGCCCAGCAGCCCTAGAGTGCAAGTGGGGAGAAGCCAGTGCCTGTGATTCCACTGCCTGCAGAGGGGCAGGGCTGGGCCTGGGTATTAACCACGTCTTCTAATTTTCTGTATTTGATGCTGTGACGTCTGGGGCCTCGCTGACCCTGAAGGGACTGTCCCTCTCCGGACTGGGCAATTCCCAGGGGCAGTAAGCATCCCGCTGAGGGGCTCTTTCTGTGTGCAAACCACCCAACCCCAGAAAGCCTCTGGCCTGGCCTCGACCACCTGCAGCCTTCTGACCCTCCTGCTGCCTCCCCAAGTGCCCTGTGTGGCCTGGTGAGAAATACGCTTTTCTCAGTGGCAGCCGAGTCCTGACCTGCTGAGCAACAACACAGCTGGTGGTTGCCTGGGGACTCAGAATCCCTCAGTGGCTGCCTCAGAGAGGCCTGATCCTGCTAGTATCCTATGTTGGCTGTGGTGGACAGAGCTTCAGGCTTCTGGGCAAAATCAGAGTGTGCTCCTTGAGAGTGAAGAAGTCGATAGCCAGGAGCTTCTAGTGGTGTGAATGAGATGGTCTGTGGCATCCCTGCCCTCTGGTCCAGCCTACAGAAAGCTCACTTGGGAGGAAGTGCTGCACAAAGGTCCTGGGATTTGCAGGCCCGATGCGGTGTGGGCCTGGTGCCTTCCCAGCCATTGTGGCAGAATAGAAGTAATTAGGTTTTGTCCTTGACCAGCCCAGGATCTTCAACTCCTTCTCACAGG